AAAAAATTGTATGTTAAAAAAAATCTAAAACAAATATAAATTTTTATTAAAAATAACATGTTGCAATTGTGAAAAAAAAATTACACTGTCCATTTCATTAAAATCTAAAAAAAAATAATTTACATATTAAAAAAATATCTAAAAGAAATAAAAGTTCTTATTAAAAAATAACAAGTTGCAATTGTGAAAAAATAATTATACTGCGCATTTAATTAAAATCTTTAAAAAATAATTAATATATTAAAAAAATCTAAAACAAATATAAATTGTTATTAAAAAATAACATGTTGCAGTTGCGGGGAAAAAAAAAGAGAAAAATTACACTGTAAAAAATAATTTGTATATTAAAAAAATCTAAAACAAATATAAATTCTTATTAAAAAATATAGGTTGCAATTGTGAAAAAAAAAATTAAACTGCATTTCATTAATAATGCTCAAAAAATGTGTCAAGTATTTGTGTAAAAACTTGACATGTGTCCACTCTCAAATTATCAAGTAGATATAGATGAAACCAAGGAACTTAGCTTTAAGAGCTAACAAATATTAGAAACCTGACCATTAATAGCTATTAATTAATAGAATTCAGTAATTGAAAAGTCTTAAACCACATCTCTTTGTCTTCTCAAATGTTCTTTTTTTTTCTTTTTCTTTTTTCATGCATTCATTCTAATGTTGATAGAGAATTGGAAGTGTGGAAGAGTAAGAATAGGGATGGCAACGGGGCGGGCTCAGGTCGGGATCACACTCCCCGTCCCCGATTCCTAATGGTAGAAATTTCTCTGTCTCCCAGTCTTGATCCCCAACAGCGAGCCTATCACCGCCCCCACCCCCAACGGGGATTGGGTTCTCGATCCCCGAAAATTCTTCGATCAAAATAAAAAAAAATAAAAAACAACAACAACAGATCTGAGCATATATATTTATCATCAACAACAACATCATCGCCAAATCATATCTGTTCATTATCATCATCATCAACAACACACCCATACACTAGATTTAACGTATATATTCAACAGATCGAATAGATTTGAGCACAAATGTAAAAAATAAAAACCAAATCTAACACATTCAACAGATCATCATTTTCTTCATCTTTATCAACAACAGATCCGAGCTCAAATCTTATATATATATATATATATATATATCAAGTAGATATAGATGAAACCAAGGAACTTAGCTTTAAGAGCTAACAAATATTAGAAACCTGACCATTAATAGCTATTAATTAATAGAATTCAGTAATTGAAAAGTCTTAAACCACATCTCTTTGTCTTCTCAAATGTTCTTTTTTTTTCTTTTTCTTTTTTCATGCATTCATTCTAATGTTGATAGAGAATTGGAAGTGTGGAAGAGTAAGAATAGGGATGGCAACGGGGCGGGCTAAGGTCAGGATCACACTCTCCGTCCCCGATTCCTAATGGTAGAAATTTCTTTGTCTCCCGGTCGCGATCCCCAACAGGGAGCCTATCACCGCCCCCACCCCCAACGGGGATTGGGTTCCCGATCCCCGAAAATTCTTCAGTCAAAATAAAAAAATATAAAAAACAACAACAACAGATCTGAGCATATATATTTATCATCAAGAACAACATCATCGTCAAATCATATCTGTTCATTATCATCATCATCAACAACACACCCATACACTAGATTTAACGTATATATTCAACAGATCGAATAGATCTGAGCACAAATGTAAAAAATAAAAAACAAATCTAACACATTCAACAGATCATCATTTTCTTCATCTTTATCAACAACAGATCCGAGCTCAAATCTTACATATATATATATATATATAGAGAGAGAGAGAGAGAGAGAGAGAGATTGAGATGAATGGGCACCAGTGACCAGAACAATCTATATCCATTTATGTTTCTCAATGTCGATGGAAACTTGTTCTTCAATGTCGGTGGGTTTGTCTATAAATGAGAAAACCCAGATGGACGAAGATCTCACGCCAGCATTGGTGAGGCAACAGAAACGACAGAACTTTGACGATGGAGGGACGGTGGAGATCGACGGTGATAGAGAGAGAGAGAGAGAGCCGGTGACTGAGTCTGGAGCAGGGAGACGCCGGGGATAAGAAATGAGCGACGTCGGTAGTGAAGGATGAACGACCGATCAAGAGAGAGAGAGGGCTACAATGGTAATTTCATATCTGGGGTAAACGGGTACGGGGACAAGGTCGGAGACGGAACAGGCCCAGGGCTAGGGAAGGTATCACCGTCCCTCGTTTGAAAATGATCGGGGATTCATTTTTGAATACCATAGCCGGCCCGTCGGGGATATTTTTCGGGAAAAAATCGTTTAAATAAGGGTCGGGGGATCGAGCTCCTGTCAGGTCGGTTTCAAATTGCCATCCCTAAGTGAGAGACATTAAAATTATATATTGAGATATGTAATTATTATGATGAAAAATAAATGTTATCTTCCTCTTCTATGACAATTTATCTGGTTATACCTCCAATTAAAACGTCAAGTATGATTCTACATCATCATTGAACTTTGCTTTCATTTTTTTTAGATATTGTCTCACAATTGTTTGTATTTTGTGTTATGAACTTTATTACATCTGTATTTACTAAAGCTATTAAATGGATCTAATGCAAGAAGTGCAAACTATTTCAATGTTATTCTTGGGATTAAAAGTACAAAAAATATACACAAAAAAAATATATGAATAGACAAGATTTTATAAAATTTGTTTGTGAGTCTCACCTCTTGAAAATCCTATAATTTATTTATTTTTTATTATATTTTATGTTTAATTTATGTACTTTTTTATATAGTTTTCTTTGTTTTCTTTAAAAGTTTTATTTTTAAAAATTAATTAATTAATAAATAAATAAATCATTTTCTATTTCAAATAATTTTATTTTTGTTTTTATTTTTTTATTTTTTTTAAAGTAGTTTTAGTTTTGGACAATTACTTACTTCTTTTTTTCCCTTTTACATATTGTGATTTTGCGCATTTTAAGTGTATGATATTTTTACTAATACACTTGGATATGCATTATGAGATGCAAAAATAAGCAAGAAGAAGAAAAATAAATAAAATAATACGATGGATGTGAAGTAAAGATCAAAGATCAAAACTCCCAAAGCAAGCAACTAAACAAACAAGCAAATTGAATAGAATGTTTAACAATAGACATTTGATAATTTACAACAAAATTTTATAACTTTTCTTTTTGTTAAGAAAATTCTATTTGGTACTAGTTAAATGTTTTTAAATAGTTTTTTTTTAATTTTAAATTTGAAATTAAAATTATAGTAAATTTATGTAAGCATAATTGCTAACCACATTTTTTTTTACTTAATTTAGAATTAATTACCTAAAAGTCCTGTTTATAAATGTTATGATAGTTCAGATCTTATCTGAGATTTTTTAAATCAATAAGTTTTATTTAGTAAAACTAAGGATATTAGCAGTTTTTCTCAATTTTTAAAATCAAGAACATTATCAATTTTACATAATAATGTTCCCGACAATTGTTTTACTAACGGGTAAGAAAAATAGAGTATGGGATTAAGGGATTGTTTGGAATGTCATAAATAAGTGCACTTTTTGACTTTTTGGACTAAAACGTTGAAGAAAAAAATATGATTTTTTGGGTTAACTTTTTGACTTTTTATGAAAAAATGTGTATTAAAAAATTGTATAAATTAGTGTGTAAGGAAAAATTAGGATTGAGAATTGTGCAGCCGTACTTGTTGATTTTGGTGAATAGTGATAACTTTTTAACTTTTTGAGTAACTTTTTGACTTTTTTTTAACTTGCCAAACTTCGCCTAAACGTTTTTGTCCTTCTACTTATTGGTTTGATTCAACTATCCAATAAAACCGAGAACATTATCAATTTTTTTCGGTTTTAAAATTGTGAATATTATCAATTTTTTCATTTAAATTTTTTTTTTCAATTTTGCACGTCAATGTTCTATCATCATACTCCTTTATAGATACAAAATTTTTCAGTTTTACACAAAAACAATTCTGTTTTTTCTATTTAAAAAAAAAAATTTGGCCCAAATTTTTTTTTTTTTTTTTAGTTTTTTCAATTTAAAAGTTAACATTTTAAAATTTTAAAAATCAAAATAAATGTCAAATTATCATGTTCCTTTATAAATAATTATAAATAATGAACAATCATTTATTTGAAATACAACTTCAATTATTAAAAATTTAATGAAATTTGAAGGTCTAAAAAATCTTAATTAAAATTTAATAAAATATAAATTTATAAATTAAGACTTGTGTTTAAATGTCTCCTTAATTTATAATATTTATAAACTACCTTTTTTTAGATTTATTTTTTTAAGTATTTATATAAATAAACAAAAAAAGTTAGAAATAATTTTTTCCTTAATTTTTTGCTATAAATTTTGTCCGTATATTATTTTTAAATTTTAAATAAAAACAAACATAAAATAATTAATTAAAAATATATTGCATTTATTATATTCATTTTCCTTTGTGCAAAAAACAAAAAAATAAAAATAACAATCACAGATCATATATATATAAATAATTATGAACATAACCCTGACATAACAGAGGCGAAAAACTAGTATGATATAATACAAAGCCACTTTAACCAAAAGCCACGGAAACAGAGAGAAAAATAACAAAGCAACAATTAAAGAAAAAAAACACCCAGATATTCCAGACCAACAACAATCTTTACTTTCATATACTCCAATTTCAAACATGGTTTTTGAGTCAGCTTCCTACAAACACCAATTCAAAAAAAGAAAAAAAAAAAAAAAAAAAAAAAACCTAGAAACGAAAAAAAACCTAGAAATGTTTAAAAATTACACAAGCCACACAAGTAAAAACAAAGCTGGCTATGTCACTCCCTCCTTCCCCCTCTCTTTCTATGTACAAAAAGCCTATGGTAAAACTGGTTAGTACTAGTAAAAAAAAAAAAAAAAAAAACCATGGATAACACCAACCACACAAAAAAGCAAAGTGAAAACAAAATCAAAATAATGAAAGAAAGGGTTAAAATTTTTGAAAATGATAGAGAAATTCACATTCAAGTCATGATCAGCTGAGCAAATCATGTGACTGGCACAGTTCTTTTCTGAGCTTTTGAGAGAAAAGCTTGCAAGCGTCGATGCTTAGATCAACGGCCGCTGACAATGCCACAAATACAGCTGCATCCTCCGTGCAACTCACGTGTTGCACACTCACCTCCACTGCCGGTTTACTGCACTTGCTTCCTTCTCCTTCCACCCTTGCCGACATCACAAACCCTCTGTACATACAGTAAGGCCACAGCCCATAGCCAAAGTCCCCACTCCCCCTGGGGCTACACCCTGGCGATGCCGCCGAATTTCCAGGTGTCGACCTCCCATTGGCCGATGCACCGAGGTCGATCACAAACTTGCCACCTTTGCTGGAGCTCAAAGTTGACTCGGCAAGGACAATGCCGGCGGCCGAATTGTCCGGGATGAGCTCGAAACGGTAGCCAAGGCCGTCATTGGCACCGCGCTCTCGCCACGCCTCGAACCGGCCCCAGGGCTTCCATGTGCCGTCACTGGGGCGGAGGATGAGCCAGCAGCCCGGGTTGGACCGGCTGACCCGGTCTGAACCGGGCGAGGCCACAAATGGAGTCACCATCGACGCTGCAGCAACTGGTGAACCGGAGAGATCGTGGACCGTGACTGACCATCCCTTTCGCTCCTTTCCTGGACGCTCCCTCTCGCTTCCGAACGAACTCAACCACCCCCTTGAACTGCCTGGGTCGGACTGTAACGATCTATCAACCAAAAAATAAAAACATTAGAAGAAATTAATCAACATCACCATCGATGCTGCGGCAACTGGTGAACCGGAGAGATCGTGGACCGTGATTGACCATCCCTTTCGCTCCTTTCCTGGACGCTCCCTCTCGCTTCCGAACGAACTCAACCACCCCCTTGAACTGCCTGGGTCGGACTGTAACGATCTATCAACCAAAAAATAAAAACATTAGAAGAAATTAATCAACATAGACATTCAACTAACCAAATTCAAACTAAAATTGACGAAAATTTAACAGCAGAGAATAGAAATTCGAACTAAAAGTGTGAAACATTTTACTTTTCAGAAGCAGTGAAAAATCCAATCGTTTTCAAATGTATCAAATCAAATCAATCTAACCTTGTTCTAACAAAATGAAAAGTGGCTGATACGTACAGGAATAAAGTCTAGGGATCCACTTTAGTCTCAACGGAGTAAATTTCACGATTTTGTAATAATGTGACAGAACGGCGTTTCAATTACAACATAACAAGCAACTTTAACTTTAATTTTTGATTCTGAAGAGTAAAGCTATGCATACCAGAGATACAAATAACAGAATGCAATTTGAGTTTAGACCTAAATTAGCTTTACGGTACAAAATTTTTGTAGTAGTAAAGCGTCTACGCTTGCGAGGTACGTTTGTTTCCCGGGAAAATTCCAGGGCAAAGTGGAATTAAACATAAAGAATCTAGCATTTTAAAAAAGAAAAAAAAAATTAATTGTAACAGGAGGGAAGGAACTGACCTGGACCTCTGATTTCGGTCGGCGTTGCTTCTGAAGCTAAATTTGCATGTGAACACCGGTTGGCGAATGTTGCCCTGGATCTGAAATACTTGTGGACTGCACTCAGGCTCGCCATCGAATTGAAACACGAATCTCGGATCAGGCTCGGCCTTCACATTGAGACGAAACTGCGCGCTCGACCTCTTCGCGTCTTTGCCTACCGAAATCCAACCGTTGTAAAACACGCAAGGCTTACACTCCGTTCCAGCCAGATCCAGCGGCACCGACACCTTCCCCAACAGCCTCCCGGAGTTCACACCGCAAGTGGTTCCTCTACGCCCTGTATAAATCGAGATTTTGAGATACGGCTTTCCGGCGAAGAGAGACTTCCCGGCGAGTTTGTCGAGATCTGACTTGTTCAGATGGAAAGTCGCCGCCGGTGGCTGAGTCTGGCCGTCGAGGGACTGGTTCTCCGGCGGAATGCATGGAACGACGGCGGTTTGGAGCGGGAAATTCTTGAGCCTGATTTTACAGAAGCACGGCGAGGACGAGGGGTGTACGACGGAGCGAGCGGGCTTCGAAGCCACCGGAATCTTGAGGGCGAGATTGGCTACGGTCAAGCGCACGAAAGGACATGGATCCATTGTAGCCCCTCCGGCGAGTCAACTCGTTGTAGGGCTCAGATTGTGGGAAGGAAATCAATCACTGCTCAACTAGAGAGAGAGAAAGTGAGAGCGGTTGTGAGTTTAGAAGGAAAAGAGTAACTGTATATTTACTAGCTTAAATTGAGTGGTTGCAACAGGCTGTAAGAGATGAAGTATCCATAGGGATGCGTGCGAGGAGAAGGGATGAACTGGTGCGCAATGCGCACTGGCTCCACCAGCCAACACACACCATCTTCATCATCTTGTTCTCTCTCTCTCTAGACTCTTATCTGGAGAGCGGAGAGATAGAGAGGGTGGGGGAGCGAGGAGGGACACTTTTCGGTAACAGAAAACTCTCGCTTTCTTTCTCTCTCTGCCTCTCTCTCTCTCTCTCTCTCTATATCTATAGGTCTCTTTGTGTCTATCTGTCTCTATGACCTTGTTTAAGAACTTCGTTATTGATTATTTGATTTTTCTCTCTCTCTCTCTCTCTCTCTCTCTCTCTCTCTATCTATAGGTCCCTTTCTGTCTGTCTTATGACCTTGTTTTAAGAACTTTATTATTTTAATTAATTATTTGATTTTTTTTTACCTATTTTAACTTAATTAAAATAGTTAGATTTGATAAATTGTTTGACTTTTTATTTTTATAATTAAGCTTGTTTTGAGGAGGAGATTCAAAAGTTGATTTTTAGTTCTTTTATTTTTTGTGTTTTTTTTTAAATATGTGAAAAATAAGTTAATTAATTATTTGATTTTTTTTACCTATTTTAACTTAATTAAAATAGTTAGATTTGATAAATTGTTTGACTTTTTATTTTTATAATTAAGCTTGTTTTGAGGAGGAGATTCAAAAGTTGATTTTTAGTTCTTTTATTTTTTGTGTTTTTTTTTAAATATGTGAAAAATAAGTAAGTGTTATGATTTTAAAAAGTCCATAAACTAAAAAAGTTATTCTGTATTGTAATAAGGTCCCGTTTGAGAATAAATTATTTTAATAATATTTAAAATTTTTACAAAAAAATAAAGAGAAAAATAAAGAGTAATGTAACAATTTATATTTATAATTGACAAATGAGACCTATGGTGTCAAAACAAGCTTTGATTTGATGATAGTAAGAGAAAAATTAAAAATATTTATGAATTTAATATGATATTTTATCTAATTAACTATTTAATTAATATTAAAAATTCTAAATATTTTACTAATAATTTTAACAAATATTTTTAATAGATGTAAAATCACATGGCGTAAATCTCACGTCTATATAAAATATTTAATAAAAATATTAATAAAATATTTAAAAGTTTTAATATTTTTCTAATTATTTTAACCTAGTTAGAGCTATTTGAAAATATAATTAAATTATATCATTTCTTACATATTTTTTTAAAAAAGAAAACTAAAAAATGAGCTTTTAATTATTTTTCCGAACCTTTCCCTCACAGAAGGCGTATATATTTGTGTGTACGGAAGAAAGAGGGGAAAGAGGAGAGAGAAAATGGGAATTAGTTGTGTTGTGCGGGAAAAAAAACTCTTTGGTGGGGGGGATGGAGTACAGCTGTGGACAGGCTGTCGTGAAGTGCCAGTAGAAGCGAAGCTGACGGTATCTGAGGAGGTCCTCCTCACCAACTACAAGTAGGGTTACTCCACCTGTATATACAGCCCCGTTTTATTTTCAGAGATAGAATGAAAAGGATTAATAGTGAAAAGATTATTAATAAAAAAATTAATAGTAAAAAATTATTAAATTATTTTTATATAAAATAATGAAACAAATAAAAAAATATAAAAAATTAAACATTAATATTTTAAAAAAAATCTCAATATATAAAAAATAAAAAAAATTCTAATCTCATCGCTATTTTTCTAATACCATCTCTACCTCTTCCTTCTCAATCTCTTTTCCAAGGTCTTTATTAATACCAAAGGATTAAAAGTCTCATCCATATCTCTCAAAACAAACACCCCATATAATAATCTCACCTCACTATCAATCCTAATCCCGCCTGTAACCCCACACAAACGGCCTTAAAGTATTGTGCAATTCAAGTTACCCACAGCATACATTTTGGCGAACAAAAGTATACTAGCATTATAAAAAATAAAATAAATTATAAATACAAAGTAAATTATAATTACACATTTAAAGTTTGATTAAAATATATATTATTCCTTATAATTTAGAAAATTGTAAATATCTTTTTGTTAGGATTTTTTATTTTAATTAAAAAAATAAATTTCATAATTGTTCTCCTATACAATAATAAAAAAACCTAAATTATTAATTAAAACATATTTCTAACATTATTAAAAACTACTAATTGACTTGATGATTTATTAATAAAAGAGTTGATTTGTTATGAAATTAGAAACCTTAAGATGTGGAATGTAATTTCCAAAATCACATGAGGAGATAATTACTTGTAATTTCCAAAATCTCAAGTGACGTATTTGTAATTTAGCCTATTTACAAAGGTGGAGTTTGATAATTACTTTTTGGAAAAAAAATAATAAAAAAATTCAAGGTTTGATGTTTGTAATAAAATAAAGGAAAATGTTTGGTAGTCTGAATTTTTGTAACTCGAATGGCTCGAATGTGTCAAAACGATGTCATTTTATACACAAAACGACGTCGTTTTGAATATTTCGAGCCATTCAAGCCATAATTTTTCGGGCCACCAATCAGTGAGTCGATTAAGATTTTTTTAATTATTTAAAATTAAGAAAAATTAAAAAAAAATTAGTATAAGATATTGATTATAAGACTTTTCACTAAAATTCTCATTTTTCTTATATAAGTAGGATTGTAAGATTCATTTTATGTAAGTGATATAATTCACTTTTTCCTTCTTTTCTCAATGTGAAATTATAAAATAAATATTAAATGAAAATTAACCCATGGATATTTTATTAATTGTTTAAAAGGTAACGATTGTTTGGGTGGGAAGTTTATTTCGAATTAAGCAATCTTAGTTGTTTAATCTTTAATTAGGTCAATATTTAATTTATTTCGAATCAAACAAATTTAATCAATATATTTTGATAAAACCGCTAAAATCGCAATTAAACCAACAAATTAGTCAAATCGAAAACGGTTCACCTTATCGGCTAAGTCAAAGGACCAACCAACTTATACAAAAATTAATTAATTAAAGTTTTTAAATTTTATTTTAATTTTAAAATTTAAACAGTGTGAACTAAAACATACACAACATTATAATATTAAATGGGAGCATAAGGTTTATATAGTAAAACAACTCATTTTTTCCTCTTTTTCTTGAGGTGAGATTGTAAAAGAAAATTTAACAGTTGTTTGGACGGGAAGTTCATTTCTAATCAAGTAATCTCAGTTATTTAATTTTTAATAAGGTCAATCTTAGTTTATTTCAAATCAAACAAATTTAAGTAATATATTTTAATAAAATAGCTAAAAACGTGATTAAATCAGTGAATCAATCAAACCGAAAACGATTCAGCTTAATCAGTTAAGTCAAACGACCAATCAATTCACAACAAAATTAATTAATTAAAACCTTTAAATTTTATTTTAAGATTTAAGTAATCTTGAACTGAAACATGCATAACACTATAATATTAAATTAGAGTATAAGATTCATTATATATAAGTGAAACAACTCACTTTTTTATTTTTTTTCTCGATGTGAGATTGTAATTATTTTAAAGTTAAATATTATGAGAGTTTTAAAATCTCATACAAAATTATTTTTAAAATCAAAACGTCTATGTGGAATTGTACAATAAAAGTTAAATGGAAGCTAACCAATGAAAATTTTCTTAATTGTTTAAAATTAAAAAAATAAAAAAAATTATTGGTATTGATTATAGGTTTCTCACTAAAAAATTTCTTTTACTTATATAAATGAGAGCATAAGATTCAATTTATATAAATGAAATAATTTACTTTTTCCTTCTTTTCCCGATTTGAAATTGTAAAATAAAAGTTAAATGGAAACTAACTAATGTGGATTTTCTTAATTATTGAAAATTAAGATATTTTAATAATTTATATAAATTGAAGCACAAGATTCATTTTATGTAATGAAACAATTCACTCTTTCTTTTTTTCTTCTCGATTTGAGATTATAAAATAAAAGGTAAATGGAAGTTAACCAATGAGAATTTTTTTAATTGTTTAAAATTAAGAAAACTCAATTAAAGCTTTCCCCTTGAAAACTCCATTTATGAGATTTATTTTATATAATTGAAACAACTCACTTTTTCTTTTTTTTTCTCGATGTAGGATTGTAACACTTTATATAAGTGAAATAACTTACTTTTTCTTTATTTTCTCGATGTGGGATTGTAATTATTTTAAAATTAAATATGATGAGAGTTTCAAAATCTCATACAAAATTATTTTTAAAATCAAAACTATGTGAAATTATAAAATAAAAGTTAAATGGAAACTAGCCAATGGTTTGATTTCTTGAGTTTTATGGGCGATATGTTATTAGATTTATTGTTGATTTCTTGAGTTTGATTTGTTGTTGATTTATGTGATTTGATTTCTTGGGTTTTATTGATTTATATAAAATTAAAATTTTCAAGCAAAAATCTGTTTTGGTTTGGTCCATTTGTCTCACTACTCATCCAACCTAAAAATTTGTTCTTATTATTTGAAAATAAGATCAGGCCTTTGCTCATTTCTTTGTTATAACCATTTAAAAAGGATCAAAGCAGTAAAAGATATTTTCTTCTCTTCTATGTTATTGGTTTTTACATTTTATTTTTTTGTTGAACTGGTTTTTACATTTTATTGTTCTATATTATTTGGACTGATTTTCAAGGAATGAAACATGAAGGTGTTTGAATTTAGTTTGGCTGAGGGAACACACTACAAAAGATAAATGGATTAATACTTCCTAGTAATTTTATGTTGGAGGGAGGGTGGGTGGGTGTGTGCAATATCTTTAGGTGTGCAGATTGCTTTCATTTGAAGGTCCAAAATGTTTATTTGTGAATAAATTTCTCTATTCTATCATTAATAAATGGACAAAATTGAGGACATAAATTAAAACGAAACAAAAATCTTATTTTAGATTTGTTGTTGATTTCTTGAATTAGATTTGTTGTTGATTTTAGTGATTTAATTTATTGGGTATTGTTGGTTTATATAAAATTGAAATTTTAAAGCAAAAATCTGTACTAGTTTGGTCAAATTTGAAGCAAAAAACTGTTCAGATTTGTAATAGAAAAAGCAAAAGAGGAGGTAGAGATGATCAAAACTTTCAAAAATTCTAGATGGAATGATGGTGGCTATTTTGCATCATGCTATAAATTTGTTTTCCATAAAAAAAAAAAAAAAAAAAAAGTTTTGCACTCATAAAAAAAAAATTTGTTTTCCATCAATGAGCATTCGTGTGTTTTTGCAAACCAACTTTTATATT